CAAAATCAATAGTATTCACACAAAAATATTTCGGACCTCATCCATTTTTACTTTGAAAAGATGAACTGTGACATTCAACACTGTTAGGCAAATGTGTTCAATACCCTCAGGGACATTGGTAACGGGATCTTCAAAGAAGAAAACACAAAAAACAGTTGCCATGTAAATGAGGGCATGCAAGTGGTTCCGATGGTGTATTTAGCAGACTTTTCAAACAGCTTCGATGTCAAATGTCCTGAACAAACCTGCAAAATGATGAACTGCACACAAAGACTCTTTAGGCCATGTCAAACCTGATGTTTTTGTAACAGGTTTTTTACTACTACTGCTGCTGGTGACGATGATGATGGTGATGGTGATGATGATGATGATGATGATGGTGGTGTGAAGGTGATGGTGATGGTGATGGTGATGGTGATGATGATGATGGCGATGGCGATGGCGACGACGACGACGATGACGACGACGGTGACGATGATGATGGTGATCGTGGTGATGGTGATGGTGATGATGGCGATGGCGATGACGATGACGATGACGATGACGACAACGACGACGGTGATGATGATGATGACGACAATGATGACGATGATGATGACGATGATGATGATGATGTGTGTGTACTTGATTTTCATACTCAGCTCCCTGGGGAGTATACAACCCAAGCTGCCTCCGAGACACTGCAAGGTCATCATTCATCCTGCTGGGTACCCATTCACTTCTGGGTGAAAAGAGGCCCATTTTAAACCAAGTCACTTGCATGAGGAGTCATCACATGTATGTGCCAAATGGAATCTGTTTCGGCAGATAATCAAGACTGGCTATTCTCTTACATTGATATTTTATATTTAAATACTTCAGGGGCATGATCGACACCCAAGAAACTCTCAGGACCCAAGCTGCCGAACATGGTCACACATCCAACCACTCTCCGTGACCAAACATTGCTTAACTTATCCTATATATGATCCTTGATTCATGTAAATCCATCCCATTATACCAAATGCTCAGGTAATAATCCACACATTCCACAAGTCAGCTTTTATAACAGTGTGTGCCTTGTGTCATACCACATACTGATCATGTGTGATCATAAACTTACAACTTTGTTAATCAGTGTTCCATCTAGGGTTGGGACGAGTCAAATTTACTACCCTGGTATGAGACAACCTATTACCCGGCCCTAACCAGCCCGACACAGCCCGACACAGCCCGACACAGCCCGACACAGCCCGACACAGCCTGACACAGCCTGACACAGCCCGACACAGCCTGACACAGCCCGACACAGGTAACCGCTATCGGTCTCAAGAGCTTTGTACAATAATGTCCAAGTGGGAATTGTTACTATGAGCGACCTGATCATCCATGCTGGAGTTGACTGAAGCTTTATCTTTACTCAATCATATAAAAGTCAAAAAGGATGCGCACATAGTCAGAAAGAAATGCAAACATTAGCGACTTGTAGTATAACCATGTTATATTGTTATTGTGATTAAACAATATCACATGACTAACTACGGGTCGGGTAGTTCTGTGGCTACCCGGGTCCTTCTCAGGACCCACCGACCCGAGTCAGCCCTGGTTCAATCTACACGTACCTTGAACATGTTGTGTCAATATAAGTGGTATGTACAGCGCGGTATGGCCACTCCACCACAGTCACTCCCAACGGTCAAGAGGACCTCGAACTACAACTTATTGCCGCTAATACGTAAGTGAAGTCGATTAAATCTCAAGCTAACACCAGTAAGTTTAATATGTCAAGCCAACCTCTTCATGATGTGATGGCTGTTAATATGCACAATTACATAGCAAACACACATTCTTAGGTTAATCACAAGGCTTCACATTCAAATTGCTACCTATTCAAGTGCCAAATATGGATTGATGCTCAGTCATCCTGTCACAAATTGCTTCATGGTGCGAGCATCACATTGATCTTATATGTTTTGGTTTATTTTATCATCTGTCATCTGCTGCAGCTCTCTCATCACGTTGGTGAAACGTTATCCCTTTGGGGTATTTGCATGTACTGACACAACTATTCATTGTGGATTATTTTATTCAAGCTGTAAAGAAAAATTCCCCTGTCGTCATAACTGTTGTAATTAGAGTTGAGTATCGCCTGGTATCTTGCGATACATTTTGTATCATGATACAGACTGATGATACTTTGTTTGTTTGTTGTTTAATGATGCACTCAGCTATATTCCAGCTATATGACGACCGTCTGTAAATAATCAAATCTGGACCATACAGTCCAATGATTAACATCATGAGCATCGATCCACGCAATCCAAGTCAGCGAGCCTGACCACCCGATCCCGTTAGTCACCTCTTACGACAAGCATAGTCGCCTTTTACGGCAAGCATGGGTTGCTGAAGACCTATTCTACCCTGGACCTTCACGGGTTGACAGACGACACTACTGGTATTTCGGTGATTTTATCATTTCTTGCTTTTTGATGTGGTGTATCGTGATACCAGTAGTATCGCACATCAAATAGCAAGAAATGATAAAATCACTGAAATACAGCTCTATAAGGTCTTCCTCAAACACTTAAACAAAGAAAACCACAAGAACAAAACAGTTTTAAATGAAGGGATGGTTATTAAATGTAACAGTTAGCACATCCTCAGTAACACGTCCTTGTGTTCTGCATGGTTACAGGTGGCGCTATGACACTTTTGCCATTAGGGGAGGTAACTCTATTAGTTTCTGTTCTATTTATGGAGTATCCCGATCTCACAAACTGACGATTCAAGTATCATCTGTACCTAAGTATTGATGATATCACAGGTATCAGTAAATCGTTACAGACGTAGTTGTAATATTGGGTATTACAATGATTATGTTAAGACTGTCAAAATGTAATGGGAGTGAGTGAGTGAGTTAGTCGGGTTTAATGCCGCTTTTAACAGTATTCCAGTTATATCGCAGCGTGTCAGCTTAATGTGAGAGGAAAGCAGATGTGATGCAGGTCTCAGACGTTTACCACTTCGGTGAAATCCACGAGCACGGGTATGGTGCTGACAAACCTAGAAACATGATCGGGGCGAACCGGGATTCGAACCATGATCATAGGTTTCTGGCGTGCCCAAGGGACGCAACTCTGCACAGCGAATCCCAGCATCTTAGACGACTGGGCCACCCGTGCCCCCCTTTTCATGACAGCATTCCATCAGTGTAACGTAGGCATACACAACACGTTCTTCAACTGTTCATATTGTCAACATACTCCGACCGATTGCACTCGTCAGCATATTATCATGTTTGACACCCTTCAATAATGACGGTGAGTATAATACGTGGAGCATGAGAAGATCAGTGTACACACAAAACGTGATGTCACAGACATAATGAGGTTTGATGTTTCTAAACACATCTCACTGTCAGAAAGAAATTGAAAACAAAGGTGTAGATATAGAGTATCCACCCTCGTGTCTTTTGATATCAAATACATCAACACAAGTTGATAAAAGTGAAAAACTCCAAGGCTTGCCGAGGAGTTTTCAACTTTTATCAACAAGCTCGAGTGTTGATATATTTGATGTCAAAAGACACAAGGATGAGATTTTATTATCATCCAACATTATTCTTCCAAGTTTTTCAGTTTGTAATAAGCAGTGTCTTAAAGCCCCATCTGCGGTAGTAACTACCGCACTCTAGTGGGCGGAGCTTATACAAGTGATCTGACAGGTCAATATGACGGCATGATAACACATACATTTCATTGGTTAATGCGTAAACGGGTGACGTCATGTAAACACCCACCCACGTGGGCCGTTTGACAACAAGGACGTAAGTATTAATGGTAAGTTGATACGAAGTTTGACGGTCAATGGTGATCTCGTTCCCGTATGGTTTTCAAAAAACGTCTTCTGACACTCGGTTGTGTTTACATTGTCAGTCATTGTTCGAAACTGAAACACCGCCACCTTGCGGGCTATTTATAGTCAGGGTTGGGCTTTAAGTGTAAAAAGTACTGCTAACAGCTTCAGTGGCTGCCATTAGTGATGTCATTTGATTGTGACGTCATGGTAACCAATGATGTCACAATGGTCTGCAAAGCATTTTGATGCAATTTCAATGTAGATATCACTTGATCTTACCCAAGCCATATCTCCTGTGGGAGCCAGTTTTTGATGAGAAAAAACAATTCTTTGTCAGATCATGTTAAAAGCATTAAGACATTCATGTATACTCATTGCCAAAAGAAACTGGAACCACAGGAACATATAGAGAAGTATGTACATTAAGAAGAGATGTTTCCAAAGTGTACCCCTTAATGACAAAACTAACAATCAGTCAAGTGTTACCACAGTGTCTTTATTCTTATCACAATATGCTGCACGTGATTTCCAAACTGCACGAGACAAATGGTGCATCTCAAGTCATGGATCTATGATGTCACATGTGATGCGTTCACGAGCATCAGTTCACACAAAATACCAGTATGTTCATTTGGGCATCGAACCAATCTAATATCTCTTGAATATGAGTAAGTCTTCATACATTAACCAGCAGATATGGTAGATGCATTTCTTTTGTCGGTGAGTATTAAAGATCATGTGGAAGCCATTTTAAAAGTAGACATGCACCTTTAAGAGTAAAAATGTGCATGAATTACACAATCCAAGAACATTAACAGTGGAAGTGTATTTCTTCCTACTCTCTATGACAGAAAGTTTATCCAGAGTACAATCTGGGTGAGGTGGGTTTCAGTGGCTGCTGATACAAACGGTCCTGGATGTCATCCAAATGGTTCCTAAGATGTAACTTTGTTTATCTGACATCGAAGCATCAGTTCTAATGGTGGATAAATGCATCCTTGTTGTCATGAAAAAGCAGGCAGCAGGATTTGATGTGTACCAAACCGCATCAGTGATGGACCTGCCAGTTTCAGCTGGATTGTAAATTAGCTGAAAGTTAAGGATCCTGTGACACAAGATTAAAGACTGTGTAGGGGAGTTGTGTGGATGGAAGAATCACTTACCTGTTGCTGTCACAGTACCGGACATTCTGCAGTGGGTGTGACACATGATTACAGACTGTGTAGGGGAGACTGTGTAGGGGAGTCTGTGTAGGGGAGACTGTGTAGGGGAGACTGTAGGGGAGTCTGTGTAGGGGAGACTGTGTAGGGGAGACTGTGTAGGGGAGACTGTGTAGGGGAGACTGTAGGGGAGTCTGTGTAGGGGAGACTGTGTAGGGGAATCTGTGTAGGGGAGACTGTGTAGGGGAGTCTGTGTAGGGGAGACTGTGTAGGGGAGACTGTGTAGGGGAGACTGTGTAGGGGAGACTGTGTAGGGGAGACTGTAGGGGAGTCTGTGTAGGGGAGACTGTGTAGGGGAGACTGTAGGGGAGTCTGTGTAGGGGAGACTGTGTAGGGGAGACTGTGTAGGGGAGACTGTGTAGGGGAGACTGTGTAGGGGAGTCTGTGTAGGGGAGTCTGTGTAGGGGAGACTGTGTAGGGGAGACTGTGTATGGGAGACTGTGTAGGGGAGTCTGTGTAGGGGAGTCTGTGTAGGGGAGACTGTGTAGGGGAGACTGTGTAGGGGAGTCTGTGTAGGGGAGACTGTGTAGGGGAGACTGTGTAGGGGAGTCTGTGTAGGGGAGACTGTGTAGGGGAGACTGTGTAGGGGAGTCTGTGTAGGGGAGACTGTGTAGGGGAGACTGTGTAGGGGAGTCTGTGTAGGGGAGACTGTGTAGGGGAGACTGTGTAGGGGAGTCTGTGTAGGGGAGACTGTGTAGGGGAGACTGTGTAGGGGAGTCTGTGTAGGGGAGACTGTGTAGGGGAGACTGTGTAGGGGAGACTGTGTAGGGGAGACTGTGTAGGGGAGTCTGTGTAGGGGAGACTGTGTAGGGGAGTCTGTGTAGGGGAGACTGTGTAGGGGAGTCTGTGTAGGGGAGACTGTGTAGGGGAGACTGTGTAGGGGAGACTGTGTAGGGGAGACTGTGTAGGGGAGTCTGTGTAGGGGAGACTGTGTAGGGGAGTCTGTGTAGGGGAGACTGTGTAGGGGAGACTGTGTAGGGGAGACTGTGTAGGGGAGACTGTGTAGGGGAGTTGTGTGGATGGAACAATCACTTACCTGCTGCTGTCACAGTACCGGACATTCTTCAGTGGGTGTCTGGAAAATAAAGACACTTGTAGAAGGAATTCAGAGAATGTTTAGTTTGTGAGTGTGTGGGTGAGTTTATTGATGCTTTGAACACTTCTACAGTTACATTGAGGTATGTCTACAGTTCGGTATGTCTACAGTTTGGTATGTTGACAGTGTGGTATGTTTACAGTTTTCTCATAGTATGTCTACAGTTTTATCGTGGAATGTCTACAGTTTTATCATGGAATGTCTACAGTTTTATGATGAATATCTACAGTTTTATGATGAATGTCTACAGTTTTATCGTGGAATGTCTACAGTTTTATCATGGAACCTCTACAGATTTATCATGAATGTCTACAGTTGTATCAGAGTATGTCTACAGTTTTATCATGGAATGTCTACAGTTTTATCATGGAATGTTTACAGTTTGGTATGTCTACAGTTTTATCATGGAATGTCTACAGTTTTATTATGGTATGTTTACAGTTTGGTATGTCTACAGTTTTATCATGGAATGTCTACAGTTTTATCATGGAATGTCTACAGTGTTATCATGGTATGTCTACAGTTTTATCATGGAATGTCTACAGTTTTATCATGGAATGTCTACAGTTTTATCATGGTATGTCTACAGTTTTATCATGGAATGTCTACAGTTTTATCATGGAATGTCTACAGTTTTATCATGGTATGTTTACAGTTTGGTATGTCTACAGTTTTATCATGGTATGTCTACAGTTTTGTCATGGAATGTCTACAGTTTTTATCAAGGAATGTCTACAGTGTTATCATAGTATATATGATTTTTATATGAAGGTCATGTAATTGAAATAATCATGAAATCTTACAGTCCATACACTACACCACTCTAACTTTACAGGGCGGGCACCCTTACATCCTGTAAGGACCCTTGATATTAATTCTTGGGTCTCATGACAAGAATGGTGTAATGGGGACTATCCTGGCTCGAATCTCTGTGGAATCTTAAAAATGTGCGACTGAGATTAGAAACAAAGCGTTTAAATCCTCTTGGGGTAAAAACCTTCACAGGTTTCTGCATGGCTAAGTGACTTACTTTGAGGAGTTGAAATTGATAATAATTCATCCACGTGCATGCACAAAGCAAAGATGGTGAAGAGATATGGTGCAGTGTCTGAAATAACCATAATACTGCTTTGTTGTGTTGGCAAAGGAGAAATTCATTGCATAACTTGTCTCTGATCATAAGTTCATGACCTGTTTTGATTCAGAAACCACCTGATTCCTTTTTTAGCATTCCCTTGAAGGAACCATGGAACACTATCATCCTCTCTGTTCTAGAACACTCACCATGGACAGCAATGCAGGTTAGTGAGTGAGTGAGTTAGGTTTAACATCGCTTTTAACATTATTCCAGTTATATCACGGGGTGTCAGCTTAATGTGTGAGGAAAGCCCGAAGTGATGCAGGTCTCAGACGTTTACCTCTTCGGTGAAACCCACGAGCACGGGTATGGTGCTGACAAACCTAGAAACATAATCGGGGCGAACCGGGATTCGAACCCACAATCATAGGTTTCTGGCGTGCCCAAGGGACGCAACTCTGCACAGCGAATCGCGGCGCCTTAGACGACTGGGCCACCCGTGCCCCCGCAAAACAATAGTCACTATGAAACACTTGATCATTTGCTATGGAAATCGAAATAAAAGGCATGGGTGGCCTGGTTGTCTAAGACACTGTGCGGAGTTGCATCCCTTGGGCACACCAGAAACCTATGATCAGCTCAAATTCCAGTTCTACCCCGATGTCTAGGTTTGTCAGCACCATTCCCGTGTGTAAGCTGACACGGTTGATATAACGATGAGTGACTTTTAACACTCCAGGCAGCACAGGTCCCCCTAAAACTGTAAAAAATCAATGTCCAGGCCAGGCAAATCAGTGACAGAAAACATGAGAAACTACCGAGGTATCCAAGTCATCAGGGCAGAGAGATGAGTGAGAGTTTGTAGCAGTATTTTATCACGGATTTGAACCCCTGCATGCAGATCCTGGCACATCCAAGGGATGCAACTCTACAGAGAAGATAGCTGCACCTCAGGACACTGGGCCACCCATGCCCCATGATGGATGATGGACAACTGCACATCCATCATCGCTTAGTTAGTAACTAAGAATCAATACAGGAAATCTACGCCAGGGAGACAATTCATCGTGCGTGGCACATAACCGGCTTCAAGTGCTGCATCATCTGCCGTGTAGTCTCGTCACTGACATTTTTCTAACTTCTTTTCAAAACATGGCTCACCGACTTTTTGTTCAAATCAAAGTGCAAAAAACATTTTTTAACGTGATCGTTGAACTATTGTTGAAAGAAAAACAATGCTTAGTTCCCATTCTACTTTGATTTTCTTTGATGAAAGGTAGAAAAAGAGATTGTTCTTAGTTTGTCAATCTCACACACCACTACCATCGCACGCAACAATATAATCACACACCACAATATAGTTTGTCTTGTAAATGGTTTTAATGTGGGAGGAGAGCCTGCAACACGGATGTTGCTTTAAACAATAAAAACCTGACGAATCAAGCAGGAATAATGTTGTGCATCTATGCATTCTACAAGTTTAAGGAACAACAACTTTATTTGGACTCTCATGTTTGATATAAAACTTCAGTATTTCAGTCATCCGGGGTAGAATAGGTCTTCAGCAACCCATGTTTGCCTTAAAAGGCGACTAATGGGATCGGGTGGTCAGGCTCACTGACTTGGTTGATGTGTGAATTGTATCCCAATTGTGTGGATAGATGCTCATGATGTTAATCACTGGATTGTATTTCAGTTGTCAAAGTCCAAGGGTAAAACATAAAAAGTCAGCTTGACCTGTTATGATACTAAATGAAATGATAAACAAGTATTTGTCACAGAGTGACGAAATATCCCCCGCCTGTACACCATACTACCAAATATGAAGACAATCCAGCGATTAGTTCTTGAGATATTGTGGCAACACCGTTTTCCAACTCCAAAAACAGATTTGCCTGCTGTGACCTTGAAAATGGGGTCAAGGTCACCAAATCTGACAGGTGTATGCGGTGTCTGTATATACACTATAGTTCCAAATATGAAGACAATCCAGCGATTAGTTCTTGAGATATCGCGGCAACACCGTTTTCTAACTCCAAAAGCAGATTTGCCTGATGTGACCTTGACAATGGGGTCAAGGTCACCAAAACCGACTGGTGTCTGCGGTGTCTGTATATACACCATAGTTCCAAATATGAAGACAATCCAGTGTTTACTTCTTGAGATATCGCAGCAACACCGTTTTCCAACTCCAAAAGCAGATTTGCCTGCTGTGACCTTTAAAATGGGATCAAGGTCACCAAAACCGACTGGTGTCTGCGGAGTCTGTATATACACCATAGTTCCAAATATGAAGACAATCCAGTGTTTAGTTCTTGAGATATCGCGGCAACAAACAGGTGGGACGTACGGACGGACGGACGGACGTACGGACGGACGTACGGACGGTCGTGAATACTATAATAATCATGGCATATTCTGATTGATCACTACCCCAAACTATTCAATAACACACAAGAAAGCGAACACAAACAGTGTTCACAACCATAGATGAATATCCTGTCTGGGAGGATGTCTCGCTAGGGTGTTCTTATCCATCAGGTTAATTGCCCAGATGGACTATAACAACGCCTTCGACCCAAACCAAGCAGGTTTTCGTGTCGATCACCAAACTCCAGATCATATTTTCATTTTAAGAACTCAAATTCATCAATTTAAATCCTCAAAGAAGAAATTGTATTCTTACACAAAGTCTTCATTGCAATTTGTTCCAACAAAACATTACTGGCAAATTTTTCAAGATTATAAGCAAACATGTACACATATCACTCATATCTCGCGCAAATCGTCACTTCTTAAATTTAAACATTGTTTATGTCATGGAAACTTTTACAGTTAAAACTACCAATCGAAGTGCCTGGTGCCTACACCTGTTTTCCACCTGTGACTCCACCTGTGCCAGTACTTTTTTAAAACTTAGATTCCGGTTTGAAAAACTTGTCAACTCAATATGGAAAAACATGTCTGTCAGAAGACGGACAAACATGGTGGATCGGCACAGGGAATTGGAGTAACCTCCCTTGTATACCATAGTTCATCATTTGACCAGTAGGTATCAGGGAGCGGAGAGTCTGAGTAATGTTTAAATCGGGTGGTTAGTTTTAATAGTCATTGCAGACACATGGAGCTTCCAAGTGAAAGTCTGGTTTGTTTTTAAACAAAGATGCAAAATTGTTATTAGTAGTCCTTTGTGTAGAAAACAGTTTTTGAGATTAAAAAAAAAGAGCAAATTCGGAAAAATAAATTACTATTTCAACAAAATTTACAGTCAGCAGATGCGTAAAGCAAGATAAAAAAGTGTGGCCTAACCATTGCACACTCCCTTATAATCACACACAACTACCATTGTACACTCCTCCATAATCACACACCACTACCATTATAAACTCCTCTATAATCACACAACACTACCATTATAAACTCCTCTATAATCACACACCACTACCATTGCACACTCCTCCAAAATCACACACCACTACCATTATAAACTCCTCTATAATCACACATCACTACCATTGCACACTCCTCTATAATCACACACCACTACCACTGCACACTTCTCAATAATCACACACCACTACCATTGCACACTCCTCTATAATCACACACCACTTCCATCATAAACTCCTCTATGATCACACACCACTACCATTGTACACTCCTCCAAAATCACACACCACTACCATTATATACTCCTCTATAATCACACACCACTACCACTGCACACTCCTCTATAATCACACACCACTACCACTGCACACTTCTCTATAATCACACACCACTACCATTGTACACTCCTCGATAATCACACACCACTTCCATTGCACACTCCTCTATAATCACACACCACTACGATTGTACACTCCTCGATAATCACACACCACTACCATTGCACACTCCTCCATAATCACACACCACTACAATTGCACACTCCTCTATAATCACACACCACTACGATTGTACACTCCTCGATAATCACACACCACTACCATTGCACACTCCTCCAAAATCACACACCACTACCTTTATAAACTCCTCTATAATCACACACCACTACCATTGCACACTCCTCTATAATCATACACCACAATAATTGTGCACTCTTCTATAATCACACACCACTACCATTGTGCTCTCCTCTATAATCATACACCACAACCATTGCACACTCCTCTATAATCATACACCACAACCATTGCACACTCTTCTATAATCATACACCACAACCATTGTGCTCTCCTCTATAATCACACACCACTAACATTGTGCACTCCTCTATAATCACACACCACTACCATTGCACACTCCTCTATAATCACACACCACTACCATTGTACACTCCTCTATAATCACACACCACTATCATTGCACACTCCTCTATAATCACACACCACTACCATTGTGCACCCCTCTATAATCACACACCACAACCATTGCACACTCCTCTATAATCACACACCACTACCATTGTACACCCCTCTATAATCACACACCACTACCACTGCACACTCCTCTATAATCACACACCACTACCATTGTACACCCCTCTATAATCACACACCACTACCATTGTGCACTCCTCTATAATCACACACCACTACCATTGTACACTCCTCTACAATCACACACCACAACCATTGCACACTCTTCTATAATCATACACCACAATAATTGTGCACTCTTCTATAATCACACACCACTACCATTGTGCTCTCCTCTATAATCATACACCACAACCATTGCACACTCCTCTATAATCATACACCACAACCATTGCACACTCTTCTATAATCATACACCACAACCATTGTGCTCTCCTCTATAATCACACACCACTAACATTGTGCACTCCTCTATAATCACACACCACTACCATTGCACACTCCTCTATAATCACACACCACTACCATTGTACACTCCTCTATAATCACACACCACTACCATTGCACACTCCTCTATAATCACACACCACTACCATTGTACACTCCTCTATAATCACACACCACTATCATTGCACACTCCTCTATAATCACACACCACTACCATTGCACACTCCGCCATAATCACATCCCACTACCATTGCACACCCCTCTATAATCATACACCACAACCATTGCACACTCTTCTATAATCACACACCACTACCACTGCACACCCCTCTATAATCATACACCACAACCATTGCACACTCTTCTATAATCACACACCACTACCATTGCACACCCCTCTATAATCATACACCACAACCATTGCACACTCTTCTATAATCACACACCACTACCACTGCACACCCCTCTATAATCACACACCACTACCACTGCACACCCCTCTATAATCACACACCACTACCATTGCACACTCCTCCATAATCACACACCACTACCACTGCACACCCCTCTATAATCACACACCACTCCCATTGCACACCCCTCTATAATCACACACCACTACCATTGCACACTCCTCTATAATCACACACCACTACCACTGCACACTCCTCTATAATCACACACCACTACCACTGCACACTCCTCTATAATCACACACCACTACCATTGTACACCCCTCTATAATCACACACCACTACCATTGTGCACTCCACTATAATCACACACCACTACCATTGCATACACCTGTATAATCACACACCACTACCATTGCATTAATAGGTATAATTGCAAAACTCAAGTCATGAAGTGAACAAACACTAGTTATGATAAAGAAACTGACTATTACATGTTGACAGAAGCCATCTGAAACAAAAGGGGTAGGATATATCCCCCCACCCCCACCCACCCCCACACACACTCACTGACCCTCCAGCCCCCAACACTGCCCTTACCTGGGGGTGAAGGTTAATCCAATCTCCAATTTCATACAGGATAAGTGTATTACAGTCCTTTAGCAGTTCTTTCTATGTGTCCATCCACAGCTACATCAGAGAGTCACACTGATTGATCACAAATGAAACATGAGACAGAAGATGCAGTCACATCGTGAAGTACG